ATACCTGACATAATCAAATTTTACAAAAGAAGAGGTTGAGTTTTGCTTACAGTTTTGGAAATATCAATGTATGGTCAGTTGGCTCTATTGCGTTTGGATCTGAGCCAAGGAAGTATATCAGGGTGGGACCATGGGTAAAGCAAGCTGCTTACCTCATGGTGGATGAGGAGAGAGAGAGAGAGAGAGAGAGAGAGAGAGAGAGAGAGAGAGAAGACAGACAGACAGAGAGGCAGAGACACAGAGAGACAAGATAATGAATTCCTTTTAAGAGACCACTTATGATGACCTAAAACCTTGGGCTAAGCTTCATCTCTTAAAGATTCAACCATCTCCTAATAGTGCTGTAGTATGGGAACCACACCCCTTAACTCATAGGCTTCTGGGGGCAGTGAAGATGCATAATATAGTACTATTTTAGCATAGTTGTTACCCTGAGCAAATAAAATACAAGAGGCCTAGCTAAATTTGAATTTCAGATTTTGGACCAATGGTGAAAACCACATGCATTATATAACCATTGCACTAAGAAATTATTTGTTGTTTATCTGAAATTCAGTTTTAACTGGACAATCTATATTTGATCTGGCAATCCTAAACCTAAGCCCACTGCTTCACGGTGTTTCGGGGCATGGAAGTAAGTAATGACTCACACTTGTGAAGAGACTGAGACATGGATGGACAAGGACCCACATCATCAAAATTGTGTCAACCTCTTCTTATCTGCTGACAACTGAATGCAAAAATACTAGAGGTAGGGCTGAGCCATGACAGTCATCAGGAAACAGTTATGGAGCTTGACTGTGTACTTGACATGCTGTCTGGTATGGGTGATGGTCAGATTGAATTTGGTTTCCAATTATCGTCTGCTTTGGGGAAAAAGTAGAAGCTCAGTGTGTCTGATATGATGTTTCATAATGCATTATAATAAGTTATTTTATTTGTCGATTTCTGTTAGATTATTAAGGGCTATTTCCTGTTGTATCCTCTAACACTCCCCCCCCTTTGAGTCTGGTATAGTTTTGTTGAACTGTCTATACTTTAATATTTAGGTTTTACTGGAAGGTAAATCTGTAACTTTCGAATTTTTGTCCTTACCTCCTTCTTTCTTGAACTGTCCTACTGAGGATTGGGAAGATTCTGTCCTGTGGGATCTGGTTGGAAGCAGAAGTATCCTCATTAGAAGGATAGATGATCCTCATTAGACTAAATGCAGGAGGATAGATTCATCTTATGCTCCTATATGCTGAAATATTTGTAGGTGTGAGTAGCATCCCAACTTTGCTATCTTACTCTCCTCATTAGTAAGTTAGGATTTCTATGGTATCTGTCTCCTTCAGTAAGTTTATTAATATCATCAGTACAATTCAAGTTCAATTCATCAACTATTTATTAAGCATTTTACTTGCCAGATGTGGGACTGGTTTAGAGAAAACAAAGATGAGTATGACAGTATTGTTTGGATTTTAAATGTTGCCCAATGCCTTGGCTGAATGCTTGGCTACCAGTCTGTAGCGCTGTTGGCATGTGGTAAACTTTTTGGACGTAGGATCTGATGGAAGGGAATTACGTCACTGGGGCATGTCCTTAAGGTCATGTTTGGATCCCAGCCCCTCCTCTCTTTCTTTTTGCTTTCCAGACACCATGAGGTTAACAGTTTCCTCTGCCACACACTTCTGCCATGATGTGATCCGCCTCATCCCACACTCAAAATGGGGGCCAAGTGACTCTGGGCTGAAATCTCTGAAACAGTGACCTCAAATAAATCTTTGTTCCTTATAAGTTGATTACCTGAGATATTCTGTCACAGTGATGGAAAATTAACACAGGCAGGGTCTCCATTAGAGGTGTTGCAGACCTAATGAGAGAAACATGAGAAAGCAAAACTTCTCCAAATGAGTGGAGTGAGGGCAGTTATAGAGGTGGGCACAGAACTTTGTGAAAGCACACGGTAGGGCCCTTTTCCTAGTACCTTTTTCCCCTAAGGGTTCCACTATTTCGCTAAGAGTTCATCGTAATTCCTGCCCTCCAGGACTTTATGAACGTGGGAGTTACGAAGCAGCTAGTTGCTGATAGGCCCAACAGCTAGCTCTCCTGGACTAGAGAAAAGGGATTCTAAGTCAAGAAAGAACAAGGCCTGGGGATGTATAATCCTAGTTGCAGTTTAATTGGACTTGGGAGAGTTTAGCAGCAATTAGGTTAAACCAAGGACTTTACCTGGTGGCAAGAGCATGGACATTCCTTGTGGCTCTTTGAGGTCCCTGAAACAGGTACCATGTTTTTGCTTCTCTCTTTGAGGTTAGCTTGATTTTTTTTCTCTTTCCCATGGGAGCATTCTCATGTCTGTGACATTTACTTCCCCACCAGTTTTATTTCTTCTTATTTCCTTCCTTGTCTCTATCTCTATGTTTTTACTGCTCACTCTCCTCTCCTCTCATTCTCTTTTCCAGGTACCTTTTTTCTGGTCTTTATCCCTACCTTTGAGTCTTCTCTGCCTTTTAATTTCATCCTTCTGCCTCTACCTCCATGTTCTGAAACATAGCTGTTAAACTCAGGGTTGGAGAGGAAATTTTCATTTCCAGCAGCTCGTTGTATAATATAAAAGAACATCTCATGTGTGTCTGGGTATCCTAGGAAACAGAGCTCTAGCTGCTGCTCAGGGCAGATTCTGCACACTGTGTTTGTAAGACACAGTGAAAGGAGAGTCTTGCACCTGGGCAGCAGAGGAGCTTCGGTGCTGGGGCTTTCTCTTTGTTAGGGGAGGAAGCAGCACAATGAGCCCATTTTCCCACGGTTCTCTACCACTAAACCCCTGTGTCCTCGTATTTTCTCTTCGTTGATCTCTCTTCTGTTTCCTTTACAAAACGAAACAAACCCAGATGACTTTTGTCCTATTTTTCAGCTCTATGTCTATGTTTTTTCTTGCTCTCTCTTTTTCTTTCAGTTTTTCCATGTTTATTAGAAATTATTACTCCACCCCCAATGCCAGTAAAAAAGCTGTGTCAAAGCTGTGCTTGAGACTTGAACCTCTGAGTCACTCCTTTCCGATGATGGTGTGGGGGTTTGGGTCAGAAGAGGTGGAAAAGACTTGGAAAGCTTGTGTAGCGCTAGAACTTCTGTAAGAGTGTAAACTTCAACTTCTTCTTCTTCTTCTTCTTCTTCTTCTTCTTCTTCTTCTTCTTCTTCTTCTTCTTCTTCCTCTTTCTCTTCCTCTTCTTCTTCTTTTGAAGTAGCATAAACATAGAATTATAGAATCTTAAAGTTGAAAAACATCTCCATAAGGTCTTGAAATAAATTTTAATCAAATGTTGACCCCTTTTTTACTTCTTAACAGTGGCTCTGCAGTCTGTTTTTAAATACTGCTGAGGTTAGGACACATGTTACGTCATGTGAGTGGTCAGCACTGCTTGTTCCCAGGCACTGTTAGATTATCTTGTTCTGCATCTGCATTACTGGTACCTGTTAATCCTGCATCTGCTTCTCAGAGCCACTGGGCATAAACCTTTCATACGGCTCTCTTTCTGGTGTTGACAACCTGTCAGATATTGAAGGTACTTCCGGTATCTCCTTTTATATTTGTAATATTTCACCATGGCTCTACCAAAAACATTTAAGTAAAATAAACCATTCTTGCCATCTTTTGAGTATAATAGAAAAGATAGTTTTATGAATGACTCATTTCCCAGTGGATCTGTATAGCTAAGCTAGTCCTGGAGAGGTTATGAGAGATGAAAAGTATTATCTCACAGAATGAAGACTAAAACTAGCAAATTTTAAAATAATATTATATTAAATTAATATTAGAAATCTTTGTGCCAGAAGCAATATTAGTTGTGCACATTATAATTTATATAACATTCTTAATATTCAATGCCATATCATTTCATGTATATAACTAGGCCATTATGCTCCCATTTTTTGGTTTGTTTTTGCTTTTTCAAGACAGGGTCTCATTTTATAGGTTGGCCTGAAACTCACTCTGTAGCCCAGGCTGGCCTTGAACTTGTGGTATCTCTCTTGCCTCAGCCCTCTGCATTCTGGGGTTTCAGGTGTGCTCATCCTCCACCTTGCAGATGAAGAAAGAGGCTCCTAGGGGCTGAGTAACTTGTATCAAGTTTCCAGCTCTCGTAAAATCTTAAAAATTCTCATAAACTTTTACAGGTTTTCTGTTGTGTCATTCAAAAGTATGTACGCGTCCTTGTCTTTCCAGAGTATCTGCATGAGATTATGTGCAATAAATAGTCTCCTAAAACAAGGTACGTGGCATACACAATTTAATAGGATTCTTACATATTTTAATTTCTTGTGTATGTGTTTCTGGATGTGTCTGTGGAAGGTGGGAAAACGGAAGCAAAGAAACCCAGTTCTAGTCAAGAGTGGTTGGTGGGAAATTGTGTATAAGGACCACTGAGGTTATTCTTTTTTTTTTTTTTTTTGGTCTTTTTTCATTTTTATCGGTACCAAGGATCGAACTCATGACTGCCTGCTTGCAAGGCAGGCGCTTATGCTGCTGAGCTAAATCCCCAGCCCGGTTATTCTTAACTATAAGCACCAATGTGATTGATTTATTTAGAAACAATTCTAAGTATTAAGGTGGACAAGAGTGAATTACTGCATTGCTGTGGTTAATTCAGAAGAATTTCCTGAAGGAGACAGGAAAGAGGAATCTATAAAAGCTTTGATATCAAACAATGGGAGAATTTACTGGGTTCGAAAGAAGGGAAGGAGTATGGCAAAGGGCAAGGTCCAGGATAAAGGATGAGGTGATGCTGGAAATCTTGAATTCTGTGTATGAGTTGGAACCAGGATAAGGTTTCCTTCTTTGCAAAGTGAAACCCAGTGGCTAAATTTAACTCCACTCTTCACTGGTGATTCACGCTGGCTCAGGTGCACCCACGTACAGCTGGCATAGGCTTGGTGTGCTTTCCAAGCCTGCCACAGTCCAGCTCCCCCGAGGCATTCAGACAGTGGTAACCTTTGCTCTTCTGTGTCTCCATCTCCAGCATCCTGGCCACTGCGGGAACCCACTTCAACACCCACGTGGACCTGAGGACCCTCCGGGCAGTGCGTGTGCTAAGGCCCTTGAAGCTCGTGTCAGGGATTCCTAGTGAGCATTTGCTTTCTTCTTTCTGCTCTGCTAGAAACTTTACAGATGTGCTTCAGAGATCCACAGTTCAGGCTGAACAAGGCTGGGTGGAGCTCAATGCTAGAACACTTGCTTAGCATGCACAAGGCCATGCATTTCATTCCTAGTGCAGGACAACAAAGCAAACAAACAAACAAATACACACACACACACACACACACACACACACACACACAATTCCTCCTAGGAAGAAATCCCAGTGTTAATAAATAGTGAAAATGTAGTAATTAGGCAAAATATTTCACTTTAAAATTTAACTTTTTTCAGATTTAACGGGTAATGGAAAATCTTTATAAAAATTTGGAAGTAAATAAACAACACAAAGAAATTGAAAAATCACTGTTCTATCATGTAAAAATAACTTTCACTAACTTTTAGTATGTCTTTTATCTTTTCATTCCTTACTCTGTGCATTTGAGTAGTTAGAATCATTGTATTTACCTAGTTTTGTATGCTGAAATAAGCATTGTGTTTTATTGGTTTTAAAAATTCTTCTATGTGTCACGATTTATTAGCGATTTTTATGTGACTGGGAAACAAAAATAAAAATGTTATTTCCTGGTTTTTTTTCAACTACAAAGAGTACTGCAGCAAATCTTTTTATTTAAGTCTTTATTAAATCTGTGATCATTTTCCGAGGTTAGAAGTCTAGAAGTACAATGTCTGGGTCGAAAGCGATGGCATTTTCTGAACAGTGGTTGTACCTGCCGATTGTGTCCCTCCCACACTGATGGGAGAACTGGTTTGAGGTTGTAATAGGAAAGGTTGACTATGTTCTTGCACTCAGGATTCATAGCTAAGCAAGCGTAGGCCTAATTTCCTTCAGGAAAGGAGCAATTCTAAATTAATTAACTAATTCATCTAAATTTAATCTATAAGAGAATCCAGAAGATCGTATGAGTAAAGTGAAGGAACAGTAATGAGCACGTAACTGGTCTGGGCTGGTATGGAGGAAGGAGAGGGGAAGAGAAGGAAAAGATGATGCTTTGCCTTTGGCTTGAATTGCCTTGATTATCTCTTATCATCTCAGGCCAGTGGTTTTTCCCGCTCTGCCTGTGACAGGGTGAACAGAGTCGTGTGGACTGAGTGAAGACGCCGTGTCACTCTCTCTCTTCCCTCTAGGCCTGCAGATCGTGTTGAAGTCCATCATGAAGGCCATGGTGCCTCTTCTGCAGATTGGCCTTCTGCTCTTCTTTGCCATCCTGATGTTTGCCATCATTGGCTTGGAATTCTACAGCGGGAAATTACACAGAGCATGCTTCATGAATAATTCAGGTAAGGTCATTATTTTCCGTCTTCTGCTTTTCCCCTCCTTTCTCCTCTGGCAAGAGGGGTAATTTTGGGCCGTTTTGAAGCCTGGTTGGAAAGTATCCTCTGTCCTTACCCTAGAATTAGAATGAAGAACTTCCTAATCGTCAGTCTTTCGAGACAAAACCAGCTTAAAGATCCCTACCTGACCCTGATATTACAAAGCAAATGACTTTTCAGATTTTTATTTGGATTATTTCAGATTGGTGGTCTCAGCTCCAACATTCTATGGTAGAGGGCTATCAGAATGAATGTCAAAAGCCGTCTGTCTGAATAAATACCCTTTATAACAAGGCATCTTGGCCCACAGACCAGGGAGGCCCAGGAGACCAGAGTGAGAATTGGGTTCCACTGGATATACAAAGATATTTCCCTTCCATGCCTTGTCTCATGATCTCCTTGCTGTCTGTTTTAATTCACACACAGTATGGAAGAGTTGAGGGAACTCTGAGCTTGGCTTAGTAAGCATTATTGGGAGATCAATGTAGTGCATCAGTTAGGAAGATTTAAAAATATGTCAGTGACAAGCCTTCAACCATAGAAATTGTCATCTTTTTATTTTATTTGTTCTTTCCTTGGAGAAAAGGGGATGGGGGATAGGTGAAAAATTCCCAGTAGGCACCATGTTTTTATGAAAAGAATCTTCAAACCTTTTATTAAAAACCAGAAATTTATGCCAGGAAAACAAGAAGTTAATACCCAGTGCCTTGTAACTTCCCAAACAATTCCTGAATTCCAATTCAGGTTTTATCCTGGAATCTTAAGTTAGAAAATCAGCAAGGTTCTGCCTTCACTTCAGAATTTTCCATGTGATTCAGTTCTATAAATTTTCTAAAAGTTAAAAAGAGTACAGTTTAGGACCTGTAGAAATGGATGACCACATGGAGGAGAGGCCTCATTTTCAGAAAAGATTGGGAAATCTTGGGTTCAACACACGGTATGTATATTGGGGAGTACAGAGAGGCAAGGCAGAAGGGGGCTTGAGACAGGAAGGGCAGGTTTTTGTCTCTAGTAGTAGAATTGCTTATTTTTGCTTTCCGGGGGTCATTTCCATGTATGCTAAGTGCCATCCCCCCACCCTTCCAAATGTGTCTGCAGGTATTCTAGAAGGATTTGATCCTCCGCACCCATGTGGTGTGCAAGGCTGCCCAGCTGGTTATGAATGCAAGGACTGGATCGGCCCCAATGATGGGATCACCCAGTTTGATAACATCCTTTTTGCTGTGTTGACTGTCTTCCAGTGCATCACCATGGAAGGGTGGACCACCGTGCTGTACAATGTGAGTAGACTGGAGAGCAGGGCAGGGATGGGAAGAAGCTGGTAGGGAGGATCCTGGGCTTGTTTGGATTGGTTAGTCTGAAAGGAATGGAAGTATGGTGGGGTGAGTACACTGTGAGAAGTCTTAGCTGTTCGTGTCCCTCCTTCGTCTGGCCTCTTACTAGTAAAAGTACATAAGCTTCTTGATACATTGGGGAGATTATGTTGCCTACTAGATATGTGAACAAACTGGTTAAATCAGATTGCTCTAGCAGTTTTAAGTATGTTGGCTCAACTGGTGGCAGGGTACAGCGAGAGGTACTAAGAAATGTAGGGCTCTTGCTTACTGTCCTGAAACGGCTCTTTCCAGTTTGAGAGTCTGTTCCAGTGGCTGTCAGCCCTGACTGCCCATTAGTCAGCTGGGAGCTTTAAAAAATTATACCACTGGGATTCCTGCCAATTAAGTAACAATTTCTATGGTTGAAGGCCTGTCACTGACATATTTTTAAATCTTCCTAACTGATTTAAATACACAGTCGCTGTCAAGAACTACCACACAGTGCACATAAGAAGCCTAAGACTCATCAAGTGGGCTTGTTGAAAGTCTAGATTCCCAGACCTCCTTTCTTCAGATTCTGATTTCAGCTTCAGCATCGTTGGGAGAGCTGTGTTGTGCAGGACCTTTGGTGACTCATGTGATCAGACATATTTGGAAGGTTCTGAGTTGGATTATAAAACAAGACTGTCTAGCTGCCTGTCAGGTATATTAGGGATTTATATAAGGAAACAAGATAGACAAGGTGACTATGAAGTCTCTTTGCTTTCCCAAGTATGTATTCTAGTACGTATCCGAGGGATGATGCAGAGTCTAAATTAAAAAATGAGAAGCAGAAAAGCAGTTTGGGTAGTTGCTCACAAAGGACTATAACCTTCATTGCATTCAGTGAGTCCCACTGAAAGCAGACGCCTTTAGCCTGATCTCCCGTCTCACCAATGCTCCCACTGCCTGGCTTTACTTTGAGGTGCTTGTGTTTCTTTCGGTTCTTTTCTTGGTCTTTGTAATTGGATTTTACCTGTTTGAAACTTATTAGGTGGGACACAGAGTGACTTATACACAACGGCCTTTAGAAGGAGCTCTGGATATAATTTATACTGGAGGGAAAAGGAAATGCTTACATGTTAGGGGAGACTTAACCAGATTGTAATGTCCATGGAGCAAGGTCTGTGTGAGAAGTGTCCATGCAGGTAGCCAGTAAGTGTTCATTATGATCAACTCTCTATCCATAGGTTTATATATATGAATTTAAATACTGAAAGTGGAAAATATTCTAAAAAATTGTTATGTTGTTGCTGACAGATACTGGGTAGTTGGTCCTGTGATAGTTTTGTTTGTGTTAAATGTGGATAGACTTCTCTGTGTTCTTGGCATTATTTTCTAAATAATAAAATCTAACATATATACATTGGTTATGTAATATAGAGATGATTTAAAATACAGGGGAGGATATGCATGGATTATATTCAAAGACTATGCAATTTTATATATAGAAATAGAGCACCCACATATTTTGGTATCCATAGGTGGGTTGGGAGTTGGGCCAATCCTCTGTGGATACCAAAAGATGATAGTAGTAACCTGGATCCATTCCCCTAGAAGATGGGAAAGGCAGAACTGAGAGTCTTTACAGAAGAGAGTCACAGACTAGCATACTAAGGCTCCAAAAGGGTAGTGAGAAAGTCTCAAGCACCAGCTACTTCTTAGCATGTCTAGAGGTTAGCTGTGACCTACAAACACCTGTGGGACACTATAAGGATCTCATCAGCTGTTGATGGGCACAGTCACTCTTCATTTGAGATATGAAAGTTGTCCTGAAGCCCTGTCACTCAGATTAGCCAGTTGCCTCTAGAAATTATAGCATTGGCTCTGCAGTGACTGGTGTCACTGTGGGCTCTCAGAATGATGTACTTCAATTATATGTGTAGACTCACTTAAGTAATGTGATAAATGCATTGAAATCCTGAGAGGAGAAGTGTTGCCTTTGAGGATATAGGCGTGATCTGTTGATCCACTTTAGCCAAGGCTCAAATGATACTGAGACATGCAAGAATGAAGCCAAAGAGCCACTAATCTTTCTTTTCTTTTTTCTTTCCTTTTCTTTTTCCTTCCCTTCCCTTCTCTTCCCTTCCCTTCCCTTCCCTTCCCTTCCCTTCCGCCTCTCTCCTCTCCTCTCCTCTCCTCTCCTCTCCTCTCCTCTCCTCTCCTCTCCTCTCCTCTCCTCTCCTTTCCTCTCCTTTTCCTCCTTCTCCTTCTTTCTTTCTTTCCTCCTTCTTTCTTTCTTTTCTTTTCTTTCTTTCTTTCTTTCTTTCTTTCTTTCTTTCTTTCTTTCTTTCTTTCTTTCTTTCTAACATGTTAATTAAGCATCTATATGCTAAGCCCTTGGTCTACTATATGCTAAGCACTTGGTCTCCTTTCTAGTTTTGCTCCATCAAGGTAGCAGCATGAAATCTCCCAAAATCTTTCATTGCACCAGATTCTGGAGGTATAGATGCACACTGTCCCCGATATCCATTGCATTTCAGTGAACTGAAGGCCTCCTGCTACCATCATGACTGGATCCAGGGATGTGGGAATAGTTGAGCTATAGGACTGGTTTCCAGATAAACTCATGCATGCTCTGAAAGAGTGTCACTTTGCAAAACACTGGAGCTCAGGACAGGGTATTGAACCACTAATTCCAGACGGGTGATAGTCATGTTTGGTGGATAGCTACCTATTGATTCAGGAGAGATTGGATGAAAAAGCATCCAATTTTCAGCTATTCAGATTCCTTAGGAAAAGAAGGAGCCAGCCAAAGCTGGGTTTCAGGTGAGCAGGGGTCCCAGATCCAAAGTATGACCTGGGCAGGGCTGTGTTGCATGACCTGGCCATGCCCTCTGCCAGTAGAGGAGTGGCTTCATAGAAGCAGATTCTTCATACAGTTGAGGATACAGCTTGCAACATATGATGGGGTCACATCATACAAGCATTTTATTTACCTGATTTCAACTTGGCAAAGAAAGAGTGTTGAGGAAAGGGAGGAAAACAACAATTCAAATAGTACAGACCAGTCGACCTGCCATTCCTTTTAGTGTTCTTATACCCATTGATGGTAGCAGGTAAGAAATGCCTAGTTCTTGGCTGAAAATTTGCAGATTCTTGAGAGCAGATAGCCCATATCAATAATACATTAGTAGTTTTTCCTTTTTTAAGTCAGACTTTCGAATGACAAAATTATGTGTGTGTTTTTTTTTTTGGTCTTTTTCCTTTTTATTGGTACCGGGGATCGAACTCACAACCGCCTGCTTGCAAGGCAGGTGCTTATGCCGCTGAGCTAAATCCCCAGCCCCGCGAATGACAAAATTATATACACATATGCATACTATGGACTATGTATAAGTCGTTAATGTAGATTATAAACACAAATATATAAATATGAATGTTTCAGCATACCGTATAGGAAAATTACTCTCTGATCTTTTACCACTGCCACCATCAAAAACATGAAGACATACTGTTTCTGTATTGATTTCCCTTTCACCTAGTCCTTATGTTAGGAAGATCCAGTTCACCCAGCTGCTGTATTTCCTTATGCAGAACACCAAGAGAAGGGGAATCTTACTTCCCAGTGCATCATCCCTCCTGTTCCAGGGTGACAGCAAATATGTAGATTGGTGCCAGTGATACTCAAATCAGTGGGACAACCGTCAGGTCACAGAGTGTGAAGAAGTTCTCTCAAATATGCAACTTAAATTAACCTTTTTATGTCTACTATAGACACTTTTCTCAGGTTTGCATCTTTTTTCTTCTGCACAAACTCTTCCTGAATGCATCCCTGTGACCTTGTATTGCTGGGCCATTGCTATTAATTTCATTTGCATATGGCTCTACATACTGTAATGCTTTACTGTAAAAGGGAGGAAGGTTCTCATTGCCAGGACAACATGGAATCACTCAGGCTCAATTCAGTCTCTATCAAGATTTCTGCTTGGTCAAACTCCAACTGTATTCCTGGCTTCTCTCCCTCCTGCGGTGAAAGGATGCAGACCAGCCTACTGTCCTGCTGGGTACTTCTTCCTGCTTTGACTGTTCCTCCCAAAGTTCTCTTCAGTTTGCAAACTCACCTCTGTACTTACTAATTTAATTGATTTTGTATCTCCTCAACCTGCATGTTCCTTCTGTAGCACAGTGTATTCTTTCTCTGATCAATGCTGTTCACTCATTACTGTGGCTTGGGCGTTAATTTCTAGCCCTCTTTTTGGTCTGACTGTGGCCAAGAGAATTGACTTTTTCCTGATTCTGATCATAGTCTTCTCTTTTCCTTCCTTATTATTCTAGTTTTATGTTGTCTGCTGATTCAGTTAACTATTTTCTTATGTACAAATTGCAGAGGTTCCCAGTCTCTGTCTGCAGTTACTCAAATATCTGCTCTTAAAGTCTAGTGTTTTTCACTTGTATTTCTAGAGCTGGGGCTATTTCCCTTCTCACTTACAGATGCAGATATCGCTGGAGCTGGGCTCCTTCTCCAGCCTTGCAGGTTTGTCTGTATAACTGTTGCAACTGCTCAAGTCACTCTGAGCTGTAGGGTGGAAGGGGTCTTTAAAAGATCTCCCTAGCTTCTAGCAAGAAGCAACATATAGGCAGGGTACTTTCTGAAACTCACACTACTCAGAAACCCGTTGGTCTATAATAATCCCTAAGGCTATCTTTTCAATTTCCTTCCTCCAGCTATACATTATTAAATTCTTAACATCTGTTGACTGTTTGCCTCACTGAAAATTAATATGTGTTACAAATCAGCACTTAAAAAGAATAATATCATAGCCCAGGGTTTATGAGAAACTGCTTTCTTGAAGTGCTCCTCATTCTGTGATATCTATAGTAGATGCTGTGGGTTCTGAGGACCATGAGCCTAAGTAATGTGTCTTTTCATCTTTGCTTCAGTCGTCTCCCATCATCTCCTCCACTCGCTCTGGGTATACTGC